GATGTCGCGGTCCGGGGCCATCTCCCGCCGAGGGGGCGGGCAGGGGGCGGAGGGGCGTCCGCCCGACGGTTCCCTCCCTCCCCCCAACCGCTAGGGCAGCTCCGCCCGGGCTTCGGACCTCCGGGTAGTTTTTATCCCCCTCCCCCAATCCGCTCGCCTCGAATTTTCCAGCCCTAAAACTCTGTGGATTTATGGTTAAAATGTCGACGTACGCACCCGAGGTTTATAAAACGCCAAAGCAGAGAGAGAGACTTCCCGAGCTGTAGGAGTAATGAGAATCAGATGGCTAGGACCAGAAAAATAAAAAATAAATACTCAACTGCCCTCGTGGGATTTCGTTCATTCAGTCATTTAATGAGTATTTTTTACTAAGTGCTGGTCACCACTCCAGGCCTGGCACACGGCAGGAACAAGACAGACACCGTCCCTGCCCCCAGGGGGCTTAGATTCTCAAAAATGAATGAAAGAGTTAACAGGATTTTTTCACATCTATAGTGCTATGATTAAAAAAAAAAAAAAGCCATATTCTAGAACACTGGCTTTCTGTAGGGAGATCTCTCTGAGGAGGTAACCATCTGACCTGAGACCTGAAGACTAGGAAGGCACCGGCTTTCCTATCTGGAAAACGAGAGCATTGAGCTAGAGTCAGCTCTCAACCTGGCTGCAAAGGAGAATTCCCAGAGAGAGTTTCAAAAACACTGACCCCCTGACCACAGACCAAGGGAATCAGAATTTGGTAATGGGGCCTAAGCCCTGACACTGTTGTAAGGTTCCTGGGGTGAGTTTAGTATATAGCCAGGATTAAGAGACCTAGACGATCTCTAAAGCTTGGGTCTAAAGTGCAGTAAGAGCTATTGGGATTCATGATTCACTCATTCACTGAGTGCTTAGCATCTACCATGTAATATACCCTAAGTATACTACATATATATTTTTTCTAATTTAAGTTGCAAAGATAAACCTCTACCGAATAAATTAGGCACTATTATTATGCCCATTTTATAGATGAGGAAACTGAGGTAGAGAAAGGATGCAGAATTTGGTCAAGGGCACACAGCTAATAAGTGGTCTATCCTGCATCCTCTAAGCTGGAGTGCCTTTCCAGTGACAGGAGCAAATTTCTACCTAATGGGGTTGTTAATCACACAGGGAAGCTACCAAGAGAAGAGCATGGGGTGCTCACACATCTTGGATGGAGGCAGGGGACTGGCCTAGATGCCCAGAGTGGAGGTCTTGAAAGATAACAGTATAACCCTAAGAAAACAGCCTTTGCTGTTTCTCTGCACTGCTCCTCTTGGTCATTTTCAGAAATGATTCCCATAAATTGTGAGGTTTCGCCTTAGCCACACCGAGGAACCATCTGGCAAGGCGAGGAGAAGAAAGAACTTCCTGTGCACCCCAGTAATGGCCAGGATAGGATCCACTCCCCCTGCCTTCCACACTCTCCCATCTGGGGCCTGCCACTGCCCTTTCCACCTTTTGGCCACCTTCCCATTTGTGCAGTTCCCTGAGGAGGCCGTGGTAAAAGTGTAGGTTGGGACAGGTTCCCCAGGGAAGTAAAAGATCTATTAGCAGAGATGAGAAGAAAAGGAAGATGGTTTGTTGTTCCAGTGGAATACTGTGCTGCTGTTAAAAAGGAGAAGACAGCTGTATGGGTAGCCCAGAAAGATGCTTGTGACATGCAAGGTACAGACTGGGATCTTCTCACTGATATTTATGAGCACACCACACACATACACACACACATACACACACACGTGTACTCCCTCCCTCCCCAAACCATCTGGAAAGACAGATTCCAAGCTGTTAATAGTGATGACAGGGCAGATGCATGGGGGAGAAGGACCCAAAGGAGGGCTGTTGTGCTCAGGGCATGCTTTCACTTTCTCTGCATTAATCTCTGCATTATTTAAATTGTTGATGACAATCATGTATTAATTTTTTAACGATAAAGATACTTCTATGTACAAATAATAAAAATAAAAACCCATGCTGGGCCCTGGGAATCCTGTCCAAGGTAGACACCCGGTAATGCCATCCTTCAACTTTTCCCCCCACTGCTGTCAACGGTCCCATCATGCTCCCACAGCTGTTTTGCCCTGAGCCTGCCATTCCAGTGACAGTCTCTTACCTGGTCAGTCAGCTCCCCTGCAGTCATGGAGTGTCCCACGAAATTTCTGGGTTACAGAAGATGGATTTGAGAGCTACTCCAATTAATGTAAGAGATAGCAAAGCTCGTGTGAGATGGAAAAATTGTTGTGGGTGCTGCTTGGTGGTGGTGTTGGTGGTGGAGGTAGGTGATGGGGTGATGGGGTGGCATTGGCGTTCAAAGGCTCTGGCTTCCCTTTGTGTCTGTGTGTCATTCTTCTGGAAGCTGAGAAATGGGACCTGACAGTCCAAGCCCTGAAAAGAAACAATAG